GGCCAAGAGGCTCCGGCTGGAGGCTTTGTGCTTTCCAGGATTCCCGGATTTCTCTGGAACAACTTTAGACTCGCTGGTGCCCCTCCGCTCACCTTCTCCCCACTCTGGGTTTGGAGCGCCTCCAGTTTCCCTTCTTGGCGCAACTGCAAGGAAAAGAGGATGGAGAATAAATGAAAGGAAGGCTCAGCAACGCCGTGTGCCGGGCAGCCTGCCTGCACACCACCGGGGGAAAGGCGGCTCGGCAGAGGGCCGGGGGGTTCTCGTCATCGCAAGCCCTTTGGCACTCTGCAAAGGAACTTCATAACACGCCGGGCTCATCGCGGGACCGTATTTCTATGGTAATCGGCAGATCTCACCCCACAAAACCACGAACGCGAGAGTGAAGGGAGACAGGGACCATCCCAAAGAGCGAGCAACCAACCCTTTTAAACCAAGATCTCCACTCCTTCTTTAAGTTCTCCCGATTTCAAGGTGTGGACAAGCTAAAAACGCCCTAGCTGGGCTGGGAGCAGCCCCTTCGTGCCGACTCACCTTCTTCTCCTCCTCAAACATCTTCTTGTTCTCCGGCGACGCGTAGACGGCCAGGCCCTGCGGCAGGAGCTTGTTACGACCCACGCATTTCTTCACGCTGACCACGTCTCCCCGGCTCCCCAAATCTGCGAGGAGAGGGGCGAGAGGTGACGTTAGTGAGGCACGTGCTAGAGAAGCGCCAGCCTCGCAGCCCCCAGGGGGGATTTGAGGTCCCATCTGAAGGAAGTTTAAAAAAAATAAAAACCAAAATGCCACAAAATTATTGGTTTCAGGGCTCCGCAACCCTAAATCATCCCGCAGCCTGAGGGATGAATCCGTGCCGCCACCGGATCATGGGAAACGGGACCTAACGGGGGGAATCCCGTCTCTCCCCTACACGGACAAGGGCAAAACGGGACAGAAGCCAAGTTAACTCTTGCGACTGGTGCCCAGCCACCTCTGCCGCAGGAAGGCAAACGCCCGTGACGAGGAACGTACCCTCCACCGACTGCGTGAGGATCAGCTCCAAATTCTCCTTGGGCAGGTGCTTGGTGTCCTCCACCAG